ACTAACAATGCACAAATAGCAGAAGAGAAACTAGATAACCGGGAGCTCCTAAAAATTAAACACTTCAGCTCATCTCTTAAGACTTCACCAAAAGAGTAAAAACAGAACCTACACAGTGGGAAAAATTTTTGTCTACGACATAACCAGTAAGGGTCTAATCTCTAAAATCTACAAGATACTGTAAAACCTCAACAACAAAAAGACAAATAACCCAATTAAAAAATGGACAAAGGATATGAATAGACACTTCACCAAAGAAGACATTTAGGTGGCTAACAGACTCATGAGGAAATGCTTATGAGCATTAGCCATTAGAGAAATGCAAATCAAAACTACAATGAGATACCATCTCACCCCAACAAGGCCGGCACTAATCTAAAACACACAAAATAACAAATGTTGGAGAGGTTGTGGTGAGATTGGAACTCTTACGCACTGCTGGTGGGAATGTAAAATGGTACACCCACCATGGGAAACGATCTGGCACTTCCTTAAAAAGCTAGGAATAGAAATGCCATATGATACGATCCAGCAATCCCACTCCTAGAAATATATCCTAGAGAAATAAGGGCTGTCACACGAATAGACATATGCACCCCCACGTTCATTGCAGCACTATTCATAATAGAAAAAAGATGGAAACAACCTAAATGCCCGTCAACGATGAATGGCTAAACAAACTATGGTACATACACACAATGGAATACTACACAACAATAAAGAACAATGATGAATCCTCAAAACATCTCACAATATGGATGAATCTGGAGGGCATTATGCTGAGTGAAATAAGTCACAAAAGGACAAATATTGTATGAGACCACTATTTTAAGAACTCAAGAAAAGGTTTAAACACAGAAAAAAGCATTCTTTGATGGTTACGAGGGTGGAGAGAGAGGAGGGAGGGAAAATCACTAATTAGATAGAAGACAAGGATCAACTCTGGTGAAGGGAAGGACAACACACAACACAGGGGAAGTCAGCACACCTGAGCCAAAGCAAAAGCAAAAGCAAAAAAGTCTCCTACACAACCAAACACTTTGAGGGACAGAGAAGGTGGGGCTGAGGCTTGGGGACCATAGTTTCAGGGGGCATCTAGGTCAATTGTCATGATATAATTTATTAAGAAAATGTTTTACATCTCATTTTGGTGAGTTGCATCTGGGATCTTAAAAGCTTGCAAGCGGCCATCTAAGATACATCAATTGGTCCATTCCCACTCGGAGCAAAGGAGAATGAAGAAAACCAAAGACACAAGGGAAATACTAGCCCAAAGGACTAAAGGACCATATGAACCAGAGCCTCCACCAGCCTGAGACCAGAAGAACTAGATGGTGCCCGGCTACCACCAGTGGCCGCCCCGACAGGGAACATAAGAGTCCCAGACACAGCAGGAGGAAAATGTAGAACAGAACTCAAATTCACGTTAAAAGACCAGACTTAATGGTCTGACAGAGCCTAGAGGAACCCCCGAAACTATGGCCCCTAGACGCACTGTTAACCCAGAACTGAAACCATTCCCGAAGCCCACAAAGATTAGACAGGACTATAAAACACAAAATAATATACGTGAGGAATGTGCTTCTTAGTTCAGTCAGATATACGAGACCAAATGGGCAGCTCCTGTCCAAAAACACGATGAGAAGGCAGGAAAGGATAGGAACTGGACAAACGGCCACAGGGAACCCTGGGTGGAAAGGGGGAGTGTGCTGTCACATTGTGGGGACTGAAACTAATGTCACAAAACAATATGTGTATAAATTTTTGAATGAGAAATTAACTTGAGCTGTAAACTTTCACCTCAAGCACAATTTAAAAAAAAAAAAACAACATTTGGGTGCAGTGGGTAGAGGAAGAGTTTACCATTTGTCACACAAACAGCTTCCAGTTGATCTTTAGACATGGTAGTTCTTTAGCTTCAGCCATGCATCCCATGATAACCCCAACACCAGGTCACCCCACTGATAGCCGTCTTCTCATATCTCTCTGGCTCCCTGCTTCTGTCCTTTACCCACCTGCATCTATTCTTCTCAGCCTTGCACCTTGGATTGCCTTCATCTTCTTCCTCTATTAAACAAGAGTAATTTCTCCTCTTCCCAGTCCTTACTCTGCACAACCACATCCAACCCCTTCACCCTCCTGCTTGCAGGTGTGAGGCCCAGGCTGCCTGCCACCCCTGCGGGTGCCTTCCTGGCCTTCCTGCTTGCCCTGCAGTGCAGCCGTCTCCTGGCTGAGATTCTGAAGGGCACCACCGAAAGCTTCCCTCAAGCAGATGGTCCACCTCCGCTTTGAACTAGACTTGACAAGTCCTTCTCCTCGCAGAGTCACTGTGCTGTGGGCAGCTCTCCTAATGTTCCAGCCCTGGGAAAAGGCTGGCACGGGCACGTTAGGGAGCTGGGGTTGTCCCTGCAGCCACTCCCATATCTCCTGAGCTTATGCTTCTGGTCTATTCTGCTGTCAGCTCCCTGGAGGCAGAGCAGTCTCCCACTAATAGTGGAGTCGCAGAACGCTGCAGAGATGGACACAGCCTCAGAGACATGTCCTAGCACAGCCCCAGTCCTCACCACTGAGGTGGGGACAGTCCAGGAGTCAGTGAAGGATAGGACAGGACGTGGCAGGGGGCGGGAAACAGGAGACCTCTCTTCTTCGGGCCTAAAGCTCCAGATGACCCTGCTCCAGGGATGTCTAAGAGACATGGATCTGGAGGGAAACTGGAGGTGAGGAGTGGGGTAGGGGATGGGGTGGGGTGGCGGTGGGGCTCCGCTATTTGATCACCTAGCGGACCAGCCTAGCTTTATTTGATTTGGAACCTGATTTACTGGCAGAGAAGCTTGCTCCAAATCAGTTGTTGGCATCTGTGGACCCTAAAAATCTAGTCAATCCCGATGTTTCCTGAGGCGGGGCTCCTGGGTTTGGCAATGCTTTGTTGTACCTTAATGGTTCAGGGCACGGGCTATGGAGTTAGAAAACTGGATTTGATTTCTGGCTTCACTACTTACCAGCCGTGTAACCCTGGGCAAGTCACTTAACCAGGTGGAGCCTCAGTTTTCTCATCCGTAAACTGGGGATGATGATGATATGTACCTCACTGGGATGTTGTGGCAACTCAACAAGAGAGAATAAATACAAAGTGCAGGGCCTTACCCATAGACCCAAACCCATCGAGTCACTTCTGACTCATAGTGACCCTATAGGACAGAGAACTGCCCCCATAGTCTCCAAGGCTGTAATGTTTACAGAAGTAGACCGCCAGATCTGTCTCCCGTGGAGCGGCTGGTAGTTCCAACTGCCGACCTTCTGGTTAGCAGCCTAGTGCTTTAACCACTGCAACACCAGGGCTCCTTGACCCACAGAAAGGCTTCATAAATCTTAGCTATTATTACTGAGGTAGTGTGGAAGGAGGATGGGGAGAGGACCCCTCCTCAGGTTCCCTCCCTCAAATCTGGCGTCCTCCTGACTTTCTCCCCTGGGGAACGGAGGCCTTTACACACTATGTTGTCGAATCATTTTGCCCTGCCTACCTCATCTGGCAGGGCTCCACGACCCAAATGCACCCAGGCCAGGCTCCCTTTAGGTATGGGGAACCCATGCCCTTCTTGTTACCTTACTGCCCTCTGGCCATGGCCCTTGGACCTGGCGCTGGACAGTAAGAGTGCAGAAAGAGCCATCCCTACAGTTCGCTGGTGTCTGATCCTCAGGACAGTTCCGTCTGGAATTGTTTTGTTACTATACCCATTTTACAGATGATGTAGAGTTGGTAACAAGGTCTTTTGACCCTGAGCCTTTCTATTCTAAATCCCACTGCTCAGGGCTGCCTCCAACTGGGCTACGATGGGGTCTGCAGGCTGCATTGCCACTAGGAGTCAGAGCTGAGTTCTCTCCTTTGGCGGGGGACGGGGAGGGGTTGTTTCAGTTTTCTCTTCAGAGAAATGGGTGGGAGTTGTCACCAGGGAGCAGCGCAGGAGGAGGAACGTCTGGGACGGTCTCTGCCTGTCCCCAGTGGGAAGCGTTCCAGGCCTGAGACAAGCTCTCCCTTATTCAAGCCCCTCTCCCCACCTTTGTCCCAGGGGAAGGGTCGGGGTGGCCCAGTCCTGGGCCCCTGGGGCTGATGCAAAGATTAGGACTAGAGTCCCAGGCCGCAGTAAAACACTGGATATGACCCTGGAAACCTTCCATCTAACCTTCTCATTTTAGAAGCGAAGCAACTGAGGCGGGATAGAAGTGACTTCTTACACTATCAGTAAATCACCATCGGCAGAATTGCCACTTAGAATACGAGACTCCCATTCCAGTGCTCCTTCATTGGGCCGCTTTGACTAAACGGTCTCGTCTGACCTCCCTACCTTTAGCTTAATCTCTCCTCCCTTTTGGCATCACAGAATGGCGCAAGCAGGGCCAGAGGGGCGGCAGGGTGCTAGGGGAGAAAGAGAACCGGGAGAGGGCGGAAGAGGTGGGGGAATAACTTGGACCGGGCCCTTTAAGAGGGCGGGCCGAGCCGGACAGGCTCCGCCCCCCGGGGCAGCGCAGGCGCAAGCTGGTTCTAGGAATCCCGGCCGGCCGGCGCGCGGGGCCGCAGC